CCCCCCCCAGCTCAGCGACTGGTGCCTCCTTGGTCTGGGGGGGCACCTGGGGTCTCCCCGCAGCCAATCACTGAGCCGGAGGGGCGCTGGGGGGGCTCCCCTATGCGCTCCCTGGTGGATCCGGAAGTGGACTGGAAGTAATTCCAGTCTACTTCTGGGCTCACCACCGAGCATGTGGGCCCCCCTTTCACCCCCCCACACTCCTGTGGCATACTTCATTTGTCCCAGCATCACAGCTTTCACGAGCCATACCTGGTACCTTGAGGTATGTAGAAAAAACATTTAAAGTTATGTTAATGGCCAAATCGCTGATTCTTTAAATCAGCATCGAGTCTTCAGATTCAGACTCAGCCGAATCAAATCGGGGACTGTGATCCGAACCAATGAATCGAATCACTGTCCCCGATTTGGGCCAAATCCAAATCGAATATGGCCTGTTTCGCAAACCCCTAAAAATTATCCACTGAAATAGAGTATAAGCTGGGCAGTATAAGCTGGCCAGTAGATTTCATCTTAGGGTGAAGTTACACGTTATACATAGACCATGCTAAGGGCACTTAAAACATAAGCTTACACATATTAAAGTTCATTAACTCATGCTAAGTACCCTCTGAGCATCTCAGGGTTATACCATCTCAGGCGAGGGTTAACTCTGCACTATGCTACCTAGCTTGTGTTAAGGTAACTTCAGTCTGCTCCATGGAGATAAAACAATCAACGTGCAGTTCTCCAGCATCTCAGGCTACACTGCTCCCATCCTTCTCCCCAGCACCCAGACTAATTTTCTATACCTCCCTGTGTGGCATCTCACCCCCAGGGAAGAACTCCTGCCTGATCTGCACAACAAAGAGCAACGCACAAAGACACTCTCATGGACCCTGAGGGAGACTTCAATCTTCAGCTTCCTCTGTGCAAAAACGAAGTTTATTTCCTACCTATGGGGACTTTTTACCATCTTTAATTTTCCCTGAGCTTGATGAAGGGCTTGTGAGCCTGAAAGCTTGCAGAAAAAGATAATTTTTTGTGATTTCTTAGTTGATCTAATAGGACGTATGTAGATGAAATAGGCACACACCCACACTTACTTGCCTCTCTGGCGGTGAGGAGGGGAGGGTGAGCTGCCGGCAGGTGGAGTGGTCCTTGGGCTGCATGGGGGGGCTGGTCCCAACTTGGATGGTCCTGGGGGGCACCACAGCCATGGAGGGAAGTATCGGGCCCCTGCACAGCTCAAGCAGGCAGGCAGGCTCCAGGTGGGGAAAAAAAAATCAGGCTCACTGCTTTTCTTGGGCAGAGCCTGCCTTCCTAGGCTGCTGCCAGGCTGCCTGCAGGGCTTCCTGCAGAGCCACGGAGCTGCACGGAGTCCGGTGCTTCTCTCCATGGGTGTAGGCACAGCAAACTAAAACTCCTCCAAGTCATTTAAGATGCATTAAGCCACCGAATTTCCTACAGCAGCTGGAATTAATGTACAATATGCCACTGAGGCATGCAAACACTGACACCATTAAAGTGGTGCAAAAGCATTTATCCCGCTTTAAAGTGTCGTGCACACACACCCTTCATTTTGTCTACATACGGCCATAAAAGATATCAACTCTGAACCAAGAGTTCTAGAATTTTTTGCATTTCTTCTGGACTGTTTACAGCACATTCTAACTTTAACAACATGTAACACTCCACAGACTTAGGATTTAGTATGGTCTAAGCATAACATATAACTTCACCCTTAATCAAGTCTGATCCAGACACCCTCTTCTCATAATGCATCTCTCTCTCCCCCTGTGAATCAGGTATCAGGTGTACACGGGTGGTAGTTAATACAGTTCAGTGAAATCCCAAGACCTGTGGTAGGTCTGTATTCATTGCTGAAGTCTGTCAGTTAACCATTTCTTTCATACACAGAAAGACCACCATAGACTCTCAGATCAGAGAAAGGCAGTGAATCTTGGTCAGAACCCACTACCCATCTACCTGGCACTCAACGTGAAGGACAAAATCACCACTAAAGAATTTAGAGGTAATTATTATATTCCACTATTATAGCTTTGCTTAAGTCTAAGAAGACTCCTAAGGCGGGACACATCATTCAGAAAACATGAAATCTTCTAATCTCTCACTCCAGACCAGAAACAACCTTATTAGGAGGTTTGTGAAGATCTGATTACTTAAAAAATATCTGTATCATAAATTTGCTTTTACTTGCTGTGCATTTTGTCACTGCAGCAGAAGTTAAGCTTGCAAAAGTACTGCAAACAGAAGCTGTTCTTACAGTTTTATTTTGCCTTAGTGGCAGTAGGTATTGTTGGAAATAATGTAAGAGCCTGTTCTGATCAGCTCTCCAGACATACCATGCAGATACAAGAGGTCTATATACTCAGATAAGCATCTAAGCTTATGGATTCTGAAATAAAATGAGTCTCTCAACCTTATAGTATTCTCATTCACAATTTAGGGCTGATTCTGCATGAGTAGTCAAAAGAAATATAAAGGAAAGTAGGATATATACATATGTCACCAAATGAAGCAGATCACCTGTGATAGAATATGTCCTGGCATAACTGAACCACTTCACTAGGTGAAACAAAGGCTGTCCATTGTTCCTCAGGTCCGGGCCCTGCCACTTCTGGGATAACACTTGGGGCATGTCTCTACAAATGGGAGAACTCTGCATTTCCCTGCTAACAGAGGAGTACCTATTTGCAGAGATGCTTCCCAAATCGGATTCTTGAGGTGCACATTTCTACAAACAGGGAAACTCGAAGAGACATGCCTCAAGCTGGATTCGCTGAACATACATCATTCCCAGGGCACACAGAAACCAGGTTCCTGAAGCCCTGGGAGCATCTGCCTGGGGTGGCTGAAGAATGTGGGCAGCTCCAGGCTGCCCATGCTTTTCTGCCTTAAAGCAACCAGGTGTCTACTGTAAAATAGCAGCACAAATTTGTACCATCTATGCAGAATCCATAAATGTTGGGTATTTGTGGCACACCAAGTGGCATGGATGTCTGTTTGCTTGGCCTTTGTGCTGCCCTAAATGTGTTTAGGGCAGCACATGGGTGATGTATGTTTCCAGCCCATATCCATGTCTCTTTTTCCCTGAAGGAACCTACCTTATTCTGGATGAAAAAGAAGTTGCTCTGTATGCTCTTTCAGTCCTTATGTCCAGGGCCGGCCCATCCTATCCTGCAAAACCTGCGGCTGCAGGGGGCTCCATAGCCAAGGGAACCCCTGTGTCTGGCCACTCGCCACCCCTCTACCCCTGCCACTGATGCTGCCAGCTTCACGTCTGGTCACTTGCCATCTCCCCCCTCCTGCCGCTGCTGCCAGCTTCTTTGCCCGCTCGCTCCCCCACCAATGCCCACGCTGGCTTCTTGGCATCGGGGCCCCAAAACTATATTTTGCAGGGGGCTTCAAAAAACTGTGGGCCGGCCTTGCTTATGTCATTCTGTTAATCCCCAAAGGTCCTGATGTGAAAAATGAAGCAATGTTACACTATTTTCAGACTTCATTTAAAGACTTACATGATGTATAGATGTTGTTCTGGCTCCTGAGGTTGAGTTCCACCCTCTGCACGTTATACTGCTTCCAGCTTATTCATTCCTATTAGTAACTGACTTGACCACTGTCAGAGTATTAGTAAATATAAATTTAACCATTTTGGAATAACATGTTCATATGCTCTGTGCTGCAATCTTATTCCCCTGAACATTTCTATCGATTCCCTTTGTAAAGCCTGCTCTGTCTACCCACCCACGCAGATGCTTTGCACTGGGAGGGTAGACAGAGTTTGTATTGGTGCTTCCTTTAAAGGTCCTATAAGTGGAAAGAGACTGAATTTTCAGTGTTACTAGAGGAAGGGCCCAGTTCAGTTTGCCTTCAGTCAGTAAAGTAATTTGGGGGAGGGCAAGCAGAGTGCCAGCCTTGGGCACTGATTCAGAGGTGTTCCCAGAATGGCAGCCCCAGGGAATCCATATGACTGCTTCCAGCAGCAGCAGCACCAGTCCATGTCTGGGGAGCTTGTGCTCAGACAGCATCAACTCATGCCGTGTTACAACTACAGCAGCCTCTGTGTGAGGATGTAAGCACTCGGTCACTTCCCTCTCCCTCTTCCTCCTTGCTGCCCAGGGCAGCAGCATTTAAATTATGCTTCTGCTTTGGATACAAACTGAATCAGCTCCACTCCCTGTCAATAATGGCCAGATTTTTCTTCTGTCCTTTTGGGGCTGCTGGGCTGGCTCCCTGACTAAATGCAAGCAGATTATGGATTCCACCTGCACAGGGTGAACTATATGCCAAATGATAAAGCTTGCATAACCTGGAAATGAATCAAGGCCACTGGGTGGTCCCTGGCTTCTTTTATGTCCTAAATCACTCTCTGTGCCTTCAAGTAGCATTCATAGTACAAAAAAAAAAAGGTAGGTATTACAGTGGTGGTTCCTTAGTTATATGCCACCTTGCAAAAGTTGAAGCTCAGGTTTATTCTGCCTCTAACCCTTTTTCCCCACTGGCTAAGAGCATTTCTGTGTATTCATTGTATTTTATGGGACTTTGTTTGCAGAATGGGTGGAGTTCACTCCTTATGAGGTGGGATTCCTGAAATATGGAGCCTTCATTCGTGCTGAGGATTTTGGAAGTGAGTTTTACATGGGCCGCCTGATGAAGAAGATCCCAGAATCTCGGATTTGCTTCATGCAAGGTGACTTAATGACCTAGGAAAACATAAAACCCTAGTAAGATAATAAAGGCTGAATTCAGGAATGCGTCAATGTATTGTATTCTATTGTGTGTTCAGAAGATATTCTGGTTTTGCAACTTTCTTATTCCAGTGGCTTTTGGTGCCTTAAATATGGTTGCTGAGCAACTTTGTAAGTTAAATTTTGACAAGACGTACAAGCTTTGTAGTTTCAGGATGGACTTTCTTTAGATCCTTCTTTGCTTACTCCAGGAATATATTGGATCTATTCATTAGCGGTTTGTCTGGACTACATGCAAACTTATAAACAAATTTGAGTTAATAAAGAACAGTTTTCAATTTAAATGTTTTCATGTTTTTACCTCATTATTTTATTAAATCTCTCCCATTTCATAGGAATGTGGAGTAGTATATTTTCTAAGAATCTGCTGGATGCCTGGCATGCAGCTGACAATTCAGAGGACTTTTGGCACAGATGGACCCAAGCTACAGTGACTGAAATTGGTAAATCCTGCTTTATCCTTAGTTTTATAGCATTTGATTTTTATTTGTCCTGTATGCTCCTCTAGAATGGTTAGCTTTCCTAAACCTGTGACAGCCTGCTCATCTTCAGGAAAGAGGCAGGAGTGAGAGAGGTAAACAATTGGTAGTGTTGATAAGTAGCAATCTCTTAGGTTGATGTTGGAACCCCATCAATAGGCTCCGCCTCAGGTGAAAAAGACTTGCCAGAGCTTAGGGCCTGACCAAAAGGAGGTAGTGAAATATGAGACAATCAGATGATCTTTTCTCATTTTAGGAATTAGGTACAAGGAACTGTAGTAACATTCATAGTAAATGTTTGAATTAGGAAGAAGAGCATTTTCTGCTGAAGCCTTTTGACACTAGAATCCTGTTCTCTATTCACTAGAGAAGGTGCAACCTTTAATCTAAGAGATTTAAGAATTCAAATTTTTTTCTTCATACCATCAATTGCTTTATATTTTCTTTTATACTGTGTAAACTCTTTGGGTCAGAGACTGTCATTTATTATCCATTGTGCTGTGCCTAGTACAATGGAGCTTAGTTTCATAGATTTCATGGAAGGGTCAGAAAGGACCTCAAGCATCACCTCTTCCAACTCCCTGCACGAATGCAAGAATCACTTCCTGTGTCTTGCACCTAATATTTCTGTCGATGCAGCCAAAAATGGCATTTACTTTTTTACAACTACATCACATTGCTGACTTTCATCTGATCCACCAAAACCCTAAGATCCACCTTGACAATGCTGCCATCCAGCAAGTTCTCTCTCATTCTGTATTTTTTATTTTGAATATTCTTCTCTCAGTGTAACACCTTGCATTTTTTTATCTTGAACTTAATTCTGTGGTTTAGTTATACCCGGCTTTCCAATCTGTCAAGTTCCTCCTGAATTCTATTGGTATCCTCCAATGTATTTAAAATCCTTCCCAGTTTTGTATCATCTGAAGATTTTCTCTGGAAACTCTGTATTCCAGCAGCCAAATAATAAACACATTAAATAGCACTAGACCCAAGAAAGACCCCTGTGGAACCCCACTCAATACCTCCTGCCAGCCTGACATTGATCTATATATAATTATCCTTTGCATTTCTCTAATTTGCTTATGAGAAGGTCATGGGGGCTTGGTTAAGTTAATATATACTATGTCCGTTGCATTCCCTTTAAGTACCCAACTAGGTACTTTGTCAAAGAATGAGATCACATTGATTTGGCATGACTGATCCTTTCCAACTCTTTGCTGGTGGCCTATGATAAGCCTTTCCTCCTCCAGTTGGTTATACATTGACGTTATCCTGTATTCTCCTGAACCCAAGACGACTGCAAATTTAAGATGCCCCCCAATTATTAGATTCCAGACATGCAAAATTATAAAATTATTTTAATTTTCCATGTCTAGAATCTAGTTATTGGAGGGTCCTCTTAAATGCACCCTCCCTGCACCACTGCCACAGGGAAAGTAGTGGCAGGGGCAGCAGCAGCTGGAGGGCAGGCAGCCTGCCTCATGCCCCTTGTCTGACCTTTGCCACTTGACCTCCTGCTGCTTGTCTCCCCCTCATTTCCTTCCCCCACACCTGCCTTGGCCCACGCCTACCATTGTCCCTCTAGCTATCTTTTCAGCTGCTCAGTCTCTGTTTCTGCCAGGGGCATGGAGCACCCAGGCCAGGACAGGCAGTAGCCACAGCTCCAGCTCTGGCTCCAGCCTTCAACCTAGGTCAGGGTCAGTGCCAGTGCCAGAACCAGAGTTGCAGCAGCTCCACCCCCACCACCCACTCTGTATGCCCCTTCCTCTGCTCTGTGCGTTTCTTTCCCGTGCTCTTGCTGCACTGAGTATCCCTTCCCTCTGCTCCCCTTGCTCTGCGCTCCTCTTCCCATGTGCTTTCCTCATTCTTCCCTCACTCTACGCATCCCGCTCCCAGCACCCCTCCTCTGTGTTCCCTCCACTCTGCACATCCCTAGCCCCATGCTCCCCCTGCTGCCCTTTCCCCTGTGCTCTCCCTGGCACTGCATATCCTTTCCCCATGCTCCCTCCAGCACCATATACTCCCCATTTCCCTGCACTTCCTTCCCCTCCCTAGCACTTCCTTCACTCTGTACATCCTGTCACTCATGCTCTCCCCGCTGCCCCCAGGACCACGTATCCCCCTACCTGCCGCATGAATCACTCTGGCCCTGTTCGGAGCTGCAGCAGCTGCTTGTCTGGCCCATATCTGAATCTAAAACAAAGGGTTTCTTCCCATGCAGAAGTGAGTGGGGCTCATCTTAGATTTGAGTAAATATGGTCATTTGTTGAAATAATTTTCCTGAATATTGAAAACTGACCAAGCTGTTATTTCTGCAAGCTTATTTTTGCCTTTTTCAAAGGGGATTATATTGGCCCTTTTCGAGTCCTCTGGAACCCTTGCATATCTCTCAAGAGTTTGTAAATATTATTGCCAAGGGCTCCAATATCCCTTTTGCCAGTTACTTCTGTACCTCAGATTAACTTCATTAGGTCCTGCAGGCTTGAATTCAGTCAGTCTGACCAAAAGCATTCTGACACTTTCTTTTGTTGTAATGACCCAATGCCTTTCCCCTTCTTTGTCTATATAATTTTTATTAGCTGTCTGGTTGCAGCTTTTATTTTTGGTGAAGACTGAGGCAAAACAGCTACTGACCCAGTAGCATAATTAGGGTGGGTGAGCAATGCACCAGCTCTGGGTGTTAATTTAGAGGTGGCAACAGGAGCACCCCTGCTCCTCTGGCACTCAGCATTCCTCTCCCTGAGCATTGCTTCTCAGAGCACCAAAATTACTAATTATTCCTCTGTGGCCACATCTACATGAGATGCTGACTGCACAGTTGTTACTGTGCAGTCCTTTAGTACTTGTATAACCGAAGAGAAGGATCTTGGAATCACTATTGATTCCAAGATGAACATGGGCCACCAATGTGGGGATGCAGTCAGAAAGGCTAACTGCACCTTGTCATGCATCCATAGATGCATCATGAGCAGGTCCAAGGAGGTGATCCTCCCCCTCTATGCGACATTAGTCAGGCTGCAGTTGGAGTACTGCGTCCAGTTCTGGGCGCCGCACTTCAGGAGGGATGTGGACAGCATCGAGAGGGTCCAGAGGACGGCCACTTGCATGATTAGGGGGCAACAGGGCAGGTCCTACAAGGAGAGGCTATGGGAGCTGAACCTGTTCAGCCTCCACAGAAGAAGGCTGAGAGGGGATCTGGTGGCCACCTATGAACTTGACAAGGGGGACCAACAGGCAATGGGAGAGTCCCTGTTCCCCCAAGCACTACCGGGGGTAACAAGGAATAAAGGCCATAAGTTGACTGAGAGTAGATTCAGGTTAGACATCAGGAAGCACTACTTCACAGTCAGGGCGGCTAGGATCTGGAACCAAGTTCCAAGGGAAGTGGTGCTCGCTCCTACCCTGGGGGTCTTCAAAAGGAGGCTAGACGGCCACCTAGCTGGGGTCATTTGACCCCAGCATCCTTTCCTGCCCATGGCAGGGGGTCGGACTAGATGATCTGCTCAGGTCCCTTCCGACCCTACCAACTATGAACCTATGACTGCACAGTAACCAGTGTTACTGCACAGTAGCATCCCAGCACAGTTGTCTAGTGACACTTACTGCACAGTAGCTCATTACTACTGTGCGGTAGTTCATGCCCAATGACGTTACTGCTCAGTAGTAATGAGCTACTGCACAGTAGTAACAAGCTACTACTGTACAGTGTTTCATGTAGACGCAGCCTGTTCCATCTTTGCATCATCCTCCCTGTTTAGTAGTGGGCCCTCATCTTCCTTAGTCTTTCTTTGCTGACCAGCCTATCTATAGAACATATTTATAATTTGCAAGACCTTCCAGCTGTTTCCCCAAATGAACAAACACTATGACAATGTTGTGAATAGTGAATCTTATCCTTATTTGTCGTCTACTGGAAGACTTCTACTGACTTCAACAGCTTTGTTATGGTAGTGTAAGAGCGATGTTGTAGCTATGATGGTCCAGAAATTATGCAAGAAGAATGGATGTCTTAGAGTAATATCTTTTATTGAACCAACTGAGTAGCTGGGATAAAGTTAGACAATTTTTCCTAAAGTCTCGGGAAGAGTGTCTTGTATTCGAAAGCTTGTCTAACTTAATCCCAACTATATAGTTGGTCCAATAAAAGAAATCATCCTAAGAAATCCTTGCTTCATTCGCTTTTGCATTCAGCTCTTAGACAGATGCATATTTAAAGCTTTAAATAAATAAATAATTGTTTCAATGAAGATGTGACTTGTCTAATCTTGTATCATTTCTTCTGCCTTTCATCAGAGGAGGAACCTAATCTACCTGAGAGGCCACATGAGATAGCTACTCGCATGTTCACTCCTGCAAGTGGCCTTTCCAACGCTCTTCGAGATGTTTTGACAGACCGCCCAGCAGTATCAAAGTATCACAATTTCCTAAGGGGTTTTCAGATGCACAATGAATATACACAGAATGAACACTTTTCTAGATGGAAAGGTATAAACTGCCTCTATTTTTTCAGAGGTTTTCTTCTGAGGTTTGGAATTAAGTGAGGAAGACTTTTGTGCCTTGGAGAGAACTAAAGGGATTTCATTGAAGAGAGCTGAACATTTAACTCTCATTTGTGTTTTTCAATGAAGGCCAAGGAGAATTAAATAACTTTTTGCCGAAACTCTCCACCCCAAATAGCTAATTTTGAACAAAACTTTGACTATATTGTCCAGTTGCTTGGAACTGAAGGGCAGTGCAATCATTTTGGTGGGCTTCCACTTAATTTGTTGCACGTCACAGAGACGAGTTGCCTTAGGGTGTGGGCAGGCAGAATAGTAAGGTTGGTATTAAATTTGAGTGATGTCAGCAGTTCTGATAAAACAGATTCATCTGCCTGCTCCTGTACTAGTATCAGTGGGACTAAATTGTTGTAATGTAAGATATATTTCATTCAGGTTTAAATTTACAGTGGTTTGGTTCTATTATACCTATACAAGAGTGGACAGACATAACAATTGAATTGGAACAGCTAATACCTGCTCCTGAGTAGTAAGTTTTTCCCTCCCCTTTTAAAATGATTTAGTTACATATGTCTACATCTTCAGCTTTGGCTTTGTATGATTTATAGATTTTAATGAACAAATTAAAAATAATGGGTAAGCAGAAAGAAATAATACCCTTCACCCAACATAAGAGTGGTGACTGTGTTATAAAAGTGTATCGTCAATCCAAAGAAAATGTTTATGTGAGTTTGATGGGAGGGAAGCCCTACTTCTATTTTCTCTAACCTGGGAAATTTAAGATACAGAGGATCAGCTTCTACAATGGTTCATTTATAACAACACATGCTTACCTTTTAGATACTCAGCTAGATAGTTCTCCTAATCAACTGAGAGAGACTGCAGAGCACCTGGAGATGGCAGATACTGCATTTTTCTATGATACCAGTTGCCCACCACTTATGAAGCCAGAGAGGAAAGTGGATGTTATCTTGCATTTAAACTACAGTGGAGGATCACAGGCATTGGTGAGAGGGGTCAAATGTACTTTTGTTATCTTTAGTGTTAGCCATTTTTCTGTAATTCATTGTCAGACAGTGTTCCTAACTTCCTACTTTTAAACATGAAAAGAGGAAACTGATTACAGAAGAAAACATTTTGGATGTTGCCAGGTAGACAGTGATGTGCATTCTTCTTGCTTTGGCAGAAATAACTTGCACACTGGGTTTAATTAAAGCACTGAGAGGTGTCACTTCCATTAAAGGCCAGTGTAATTCCAGCATTGTGTAAATAACTAAGTTTTGCATGGAAATGCTTGCTTTCAGGCCAGGTGTGATTTAAATATATTAGGTTTTACCTGGCCTTTTTATTTAATTTTGGAATCATCCAAGTGTAAAATAAAGAGTAATTTAATGAGTTCAGAAACCCTTCCCATAGGGTTATATGTTCCTATTTTTAATGTCAGCCTTGCTTATGTGAAGATGCATGTATTTGCCATGCTTAGAAAAACATGGTTCATGTATACTAGATGCATGAATTTATTGAAACAGTGTACTGAGAATACAGTACCATGAAAGAAAGCACACCTAGACTTCCATGTATATAAGTACAGATACACAAATCTGTGGTGGGCACCATTAAAAACTCAACATTCACTGGGTAAATGTTGTTATTCTTCAAAATGGCATCCCCGCTCAGTCGCATGACACAGGTGTAAATTAGAAGTAAGGGCTTCAGGAAAATCATGCTCTTCTTTTCTGCTTCTAATTTTTTTTCACTCTTCTCCAGCCTTTGGAACATGCCTCTAGGTATTTCTCAGAGCAGGGAATCCCATTTCCTAAAACTGTGCTGAATGAGGAAGAAAAGACTAATCTAAAGGAGTGTTACATTTTTGAAGATGCAGCGACCCCAGGAGCTCCTATTGTGCTTTATTTCCCTCTTGTGAATGACAGCTTTCAAAGATTCATAGCCCCTGGTAAGTTAAGCATATCCAGTCATGTTATTAAAGTAAGGATGCCCAGCCTATCCATTCCTGAGACTGTTGATGTATTTTGTGCCAGCAAACATTTCTTTCATCTGGGGCCAATATGCACTTGACTAACTTCTATGAGAAGTGGGTGAAACTGTTTTGGCAAATCATAAATCTGCTGAATCAGACTCATGCACAATACTGAGTTGACTTCAACAAATTATTTCAGCCAAAATGAAGAGGAAAAACCTGAAAACATCAAAACACTGGATTTCAGCATTTTCAAAACATTTTGGAAATGATGCAACATTTTGTGTGAAACTTTTCCACCTTGAGATAGCATTTTTCATTTAAAAATTGACCTATTTTTTTTAAAGTTCTTAATGAGTTAAATAATATGAAAACAAATCAATCTATTCTGTTTTGGTTTGGATTAAGTGTTTTGGGTTGGCCTAAAATGATTAACCTAAATAATTAACACCAAAAATGCTGTTTTGGTTTCACCTTAATGAAATCTTACTTTTTTTTTTTTTTAAGTTTTTAAGTTTGTTTTTTTGTTTCTGTTCCAAGGGGATTCAAATAACTAAGGGTGCTCTCTACTACAGTTTTCCTAAGATTCAGGTGTAATTGTTAGAAGGGCTTGCAACAGATTTTAAAAAGCTCAGTAGAATTTCAGAGAACTAATTTAGAAAATGGGCTAAATTTGGCAATTTTAGATTAGATTAAGAATTTGAAAATTAATTTCTTGTGCTCACCTAGCTGCGTAACTGGCATTAATATATCAAATAAACAACTGTAACCCTTCACAATCTTTTCCTTGAAATACAACTATTTTTCCTTACTCATCTTAACTGCTTCCTCTGCTTATGGGTACAGATGGAAGTGCATCTCTCTGGTTTACCTCATGGCGCTTCAGAGAAAGTGCCATGAGTTAGACCAGTCCTCCTGACCCAACAGATGTTAGATGTTGGGTTAGGAGGGTGTGGGATTGAGCTCCAAGATCGAGCTGCTCCAGGGAGAGAGGCTGGGTCTCTGAAGCCTCTTCCCCTGTCCCCCACCCCATCTCCCCCCAGCTCCCCTGCTGTCTCTGGATGGGAGAGGGAGAAGGCAGGAGAGGGAGGTCCATTTTGGGGTTTTTCCAGCCATGCTGGAGAGGGGGGAATGGGTGGAGTGGAGTCTTCCCTCCCCCAAGGTGACAGGGTCCAATCCACTCACTCCCCACACTCCAGCACAGCTTGGAAAATCTCAGAATTGAGCTCCCTCCCCCGCCTTCTCCTCCTCCCAATCAGAGACAGCACCAGGGGCTGGGCTGTGCTGCAGAAGCCCAGCACCAGAGCAGATAAAAAATGTGTTTTGTGATGGAGTGCTCTGTAGCCATGCTCTTCTGTTAGGGCATGGCTTTAGAGTGTTTTCAAGGGGTGGATTGCACAACAAATGTCATTTGTCTGTGCCCTATGTGTATTTCAAAATCCTTGCCACAAATGGCAAGATTTTTAGAATACTTTCATAACATGTAGTTCATAAGCTAGTAGTCATAGACATATCATGATGAAAATGGATGCATTAACCTTAAATGTATTTCAGAAATTTTAGCCTAACACATGTTAATGGTTCATCTGCTTGGTGGGATGAATTTTGGATGAGCCCATCTGTGAAATGTGAATTACACTAACTTCACATGCACTTCTGGGAGCAATTAAAGATAAAGTATTTAATTAAAAAAAACCTTAAAGAGCTTAGAATCTTGCAGTTGTTCTTGTGAACTATTGAAGAATGGAGGAAAGGTCTTTCAAAGTGGAGCCAGGACAGCCATCCTTATTCATGATTTTCAGGTGTCCATGTTCACCAACTTTTAAGGTGAATAAAAATATGAGAGTCTAAACATGAGTGCCTTATTGTGTCAGGCCAATGGTCTATTTACCTCAGTATCTTCTTTTTGAAATGGTAAATAGTAGATGCTTTAGAAGGAGAGCGAATGGATGGGGCATATCTAGAGTGATCCATCCCTTGTCGTCATCTATTTAGGGATTTCAGAGGATACATCCCTGACTGTTCCATTTAATAACTCCCAATGGACCTCTCATCCATAAATTTGTCCAATCCATTTTTAACCTGGTTATACTATCTGCCTGTACAACCTCATGTGAGGAAGTTTCCACAAATTAACTACACCCTGTGTAAACAAGTACTTCCTCTTGTTTGTTTTTTAAACTGGCATTCTGAAAATTCCAGTGGGTGCCACCTAATTCTTGTATTCCCAGAAATTGGTCAGTAATAGTTTCCTATTTATTTTATCCATACCCTTCATTATTTTATAGACCCCTTTCTCCTGCTTCTTCAGCCTTTTCTTGTGATATTGAAGAGTCCTAAGCCTTTTCAAACTCTCTTGGTATGGAAACTGGTCCATAAATCTTATCATCTTGATTGCCCTTCTCAGTACCTTTTCTAATTTCATTACATCCTTTTTAAGCTTTAGAGACCAGAATTGCATGTAGCATTCATGTGGGTGCAACATGGATTTATACAGTGGCATAATGGTATTTTCTGTTTTGTTTTCAATTCTCTTCTTAACGTTGCTTAATGTTTTATTGGTTCTTTTGCTCATCGTTGCATGTTATGCTGGCGTTTGCAGAGAACTCCCTACAATGGGTGCATCTACATGAGACACCACTGCACAGTCATTACTGTGCATTTATTTAGTACTTGTATTAACAAGTACTAAATAAATGCACAGTAACCGAAGTTACTGTGCAGTAGCACTGGCGAATGTCTTTTAAGTGACACTACTGTGCAGCAGCATATTAGCACTGTCTATCCTGTGATACACTACTGCACACTATTGTTTGGCTACTGTGAAGTCAGCATCTCACATAGACTCCAAGGAAATACTAAGCATATTTTGAAGTATAAATTTGTTTATTGAAAATTGCTGTAGGCAGGAAAGGAGTTTGTTTTAGGCTTTTGAGGTATTTTGGGAAGGGGCTGTTTGTACTTTATATTATATTATATTTATGAATCTTATTTTTTATCCTGAAAAAGTAAAACAAAAGGTAAATAAATAAACAAACTGCTTCCTTAATTTAGTTGCCATTACTTTTTTCTGGATAAGTTCCTATGGTCTTCTAGTAGGGTAATTTTTTTAGGGCTACTGGTTTTCTGTTTCTTCCTGCCTTCAGCATGCCTTTTAATATTTGCTCACTTGTATTGAGACATTTTGGATAGTGCACAGTCTTCTGTAAGACACTCTCTGAATTCTATAGATTGGCCACTAGGGGGTGCTAATTGTAATTCAATCATCTTCATCTTCCTTCTTAATACAATAGGGCTTTGACTAAAACTCATGTTTAAAAGAAAAAAGTACAGGATTGTATTAGTGATACTTATAGAACATGGCTGTCCAACTTTCAGGTGTCTGGGGGCCACATGCTCACCAGGCTGCAACAGTAAGGGCCCCATGCCACATGGACCATACCAGGTGGGCCACAAATCCCCAGGCCATGCATTGCAAAGACAACATCCCCCACAACTTCTACACCATGTTTACATGGGCCCCTGGCTGCCAATGGGCCATGCACCTGTCTGGCCCTTGACTCACCCTCTGCTCCTCATGCTTCATGGCATTGCTCTTCCCCCTAGGGTGGGGGAAGGAAGCAGCAGTTGCAAGAAAAGATAAATCAGTAACCTTGGCTGCTGTTGCAGCTAGAGCAATAGGATGAGTGGCAGTTGAAGGGGCTGTAACTTAAACCCTTACAGGCCACATGTGTCCTGCAGGCCACCCGTGGGATAGCCCTGCCAAAGAACATCCTCTGGTTAGTTAAAGTTGTGAACTCCTTCATGGCAGTTCTTGACAGAGTGAATTAGTTTGATATATGCCCCTTAAGTGTACCCAGTGGCTCATTAGTGAAACCCATTGTTTGTTTTCATTCCTCAGGTGTACCACGCAGTGCATCAGAAATGGAAATGGGCAAAGTTGATGTCTCTGGTTTCCTTTCCCCATACTCTACAAGGGAGGTCACACTGAAAGCAGAGGATTTCAACAAGCTTCTGAAACTGACTAATTACAACATCCTGAATAATGAAAACTTGATTCTTCAGGCCTTGCGCGCAGCAGTGGCACGCAAGAGACAAACTCAGAGCCAGTTACCATCTGCAGAACAATTATCATCCTAAAAACTTTTTCTGTAGTTTGTGTCATTCTTCAAGATGTGATATGACTTCAGTTGTATGAATTAGCCAGTGTTATACGTGGTACATGAGAAGCTTTTTACCAGCTAACTCCGATTAAACAGCCATCTCAGTAGATGAAGTGCAGTTATTCATTGTCTAAGCCATTTGCTTTAAACTTAAGTGCAATTCATAGTTTTTAAGAAATACTATACAAATACACATACATTTGGAAGCCACCAGTGAAAATGACAGTGCAGTGTTTAAACTGTCATTTAAAACCCAGTAAACCTATTTAGATTTTAAGGAGAATGGCTGCTCTGTAATTGTGTAGTTTCTGGAGCAAATAGTTTTACCAGTCATAGATTAATTATGTAGCTGGCAATATTTCTCTACTGTAAGCAATATAAAAGTTTCAGGTGTATGTATAGGGCAATTAGACTAACTACTTCAGTGGTTCCCAAACTCTGACAGATTGTGCACCACCAATTTAAAACAATACAACCTTAAGTACCACAAGCAATTTTTTCAGTTTAACATAAGTACTACCAGAAAATTTGTGTCATATAAAGTAATTATAATAAAGCTGATAATGCGTACCACTGGCAGTCTGTCTGCATACCATTGGTGGTCTCCATACCACAGACTGGGAACCGCTGAGCTACTCCGTTAAGGTCTCTGACTTCCGGCATTTGTTCTCTTTGTGGTGGTTAGTATCGTTTCACCAGTAGAATCTCCTGTTGTTTTATTGGCATCCATGTTAAAAAAAAATTGTGAAATCTTCTTTCTTCTTGATTGAGAATGACAATACCCACAATTCAGGTCTTTTAATTTGGTATTCTTCTTCGTATCATGTAAATTAAAGAACCCCCACTTCTTAAAATATGCTATATGTTTTCTTTCATCAACTTTTATTGCATAATACAGCATATTGATTTCAATAAGAAAATTTACTTTCCTCACAGTTTCATTTTTGTGGCAGCATTGTCCTTCATCTGTTGTCTTTACAAAAGTATTGGCTGATACTGGCACTTAAGTGTTTAATGACACTGTGTTTATCAGTTCAATGAGGCTTATTATATTGGAGGAAACTAATTAGCCACACCCAGTCACTTTGTCCTATTTTAATGAGTGTGGGCTGCACTTATTACCTTCCCTTCAAGTATAATAGTAGACCAATCCCTCCTAGGACTTTTTTAGTTCAACAAATGAGGAAGGAATCTTATGGAAATAAATAGCATGTCATCCTGTGTGTGTCAAGATTGTATTGTAAGGTATTTAATAAGAGGGGAAAGGAGTAAAATACTAATATATTGAGCCTTGTATTAGGGATTACTTGCTATTCAATCATCCACTAGTAAACACAATTGCTAGGTATGTTGGTATAGAAATTATAGTGCAACAATTATCCTGTGTGCCACTAAACAACTGCTGTTCCAGTGCACTGACACACAGTATGTACCATGGAGTGGCTGAGGGAACTTCTGTAAAATGCAACCAATGCCAATAAGTTTGCATAAGACTGCCACAACAATGTGTTATAAACAGCAATTCAAACTATGTTCCAATTAATGAGGAACAGGTGAGAGAATACAGTTCCTGAGACAGCTATCCGTGAAGTACTGGGTTGCACATGTGTAATTGTACGACTGAAAACTTACCATGCTTAAAAATCAAGGCAGATATAAGGGATGCAAATAAATAGGTGGTGTACATGAGAAGATTTTTCTGCCTCTGTTAATAATTGTGCGTTATCCAGAAGTGACAAAAGTGCTTCACAAAAACAGACACACAATCACCAAACACCACATACAAGAATATGAATACCTGACAAACTAAAGAGATAATTGTATTCAAGTGTAACCCCTCTGGGCATAGGGTGTGGGTGCATGGCTGTGGTGACTCAGTGTCCCCAACTCTACCTTGGTTTAACATGAGGGTACAAACAGGTCTGATTTACTTACACCCATAGGCATTAGAACACAGTAGGCGCATCTACACGAGACGCTATGGCACAGTAGCAACGAGCTACTGCACTGTAGCTCATTGCTATGGAGCAGTAGTGCTGCGGGCCATGAACCATGACGGCGATCCTACTGTGCTGTAGTAATGTGCTACTGTGCAGTAGTTTGTTGCTACTGTGCAGTAGCATCTAAAAAAAACCATGTGGGGACAGGACTGTGCAGTATCATCAGTTACTGCATAGTCATCTAGTATGTGGTTAATCAAGTACTAAATGACAGTGCAGTGTTTAAACTATCATTTAAAACCCAGTAAACCTATGTAGATTTTAATGAGAGTGGCTGCTCTGTAATTGTGTAGTTTCTGGAGCAACTAGTTTTGCCAGTCATAGATTAATTATGTAGCTAGCAAGATTTCTCTACTGTAGGCAAATTATAAAGTTTCAGGTGTGTGCATAAGGCAATTAGACTAACTACTCCATCGGTTCCCAATCTCTGACAGATTCTATACCATTCATTTAAAACAATACAACCTTAAGTACCATCAGCATTTTTTTCAGTTTAACCTAAGTACTACCAGAAAATTTGTGTCATATAAAGTAATTATAATAAAGCTGTTAATGTGTACCACTGACAGGTTGTTTACATACCACTGGTGGTCTCCGTACCACAAATTGGGAACTGCTGAACTACTCCATTAAGGTATCTGACTTTCTGCATTTGTTCTCTTCATGTTGGTTAGTATTGTTTCACCAGCAGAATCTCCTGTTGTTTTATTGGCATCCATGTTAAAAAAATTGTGAAATCCTCCTCTTGATTGAGGATGCCAATACCCACAATTCAGGTCTTTTAATTGGTAGTCTTCTTCCTATCGTGAATTAAAGAACCCCCCACTCTTTAAAATATGCTCTATGTTTTCTTTCATTGACTCTTATGCAGAATGCAGCATAATGATTTCAATAAGAAAATTTACTTTCCTCACAGCTTCATTGTTGTGGCAGCATTGTCCTTCATCTGTTGTCTTTACAAAAGTATTGGCTAATACTGGCACTTAAGTGTTTAATGGCACTGTGTTTATCAATCCAGTGAGGCTTGTTATGTTGGAGGAAATTAATTAGCCACACCCAGTCACTTTGTCCTGTTTTTATGAGTGTGGGCTGCAAGTACTAAATGACTGTGCAGTAACAACTGTGCAGTTTGCTGCATTATGTAGATGCAGCAAGTCTGTAATATAACCTAGAAAACCCTGCATGGAAACCTAATGACAAAATTACTCCTGTGAACAGCGCAACTTAAAAGTCTAGCTCCTAACAGTCTCACAAGGACCCTTTGGTGTGGGAATCTTCACCTTATGCACAGCCCAAGCTGTCCTAGGTGGCACAAGGACTTTCACCACTCTGTGGTCACACTGACTGCACTGCTTTCTGCAGCCTTTTAAGTGCAACTTCCTCAGGTCCTGCTCTGTAGCCACAGTCAGTTGCCCTCCCTGCTGGGGTCTCCTTTGCGGTGAAGTCAACATTTCTCCTAGTTGCAGCCAGACTAGGCTCCTCCACAATCTCCCTGGGGCCTTTTCCAGCAGTGCTTCGAGCATATCAGGAAGCAAAACATACTTCCTGCTCCAACCTCACTGGCTCAAGGCAAAATGGCCCCCTCTTTCCTACTTCCACCCCTGCTAGTCCTCAAAGTAGGGCTGTAGTTCAACCCAGCTCCCTGGGTCTGGTTTTCCTGGTCTTGGAGTGTCCCCACCCCTCACTGCCTAACCCCTCGCAACACAGGGGCCAGGTTCAAATGAAAATGTGTGTACAAGCATTAAATGTGTGTGCAGGCTGCATATCATGAGGAACCAATTCCAGGCTCTGGCAAAATGGCAACAATCCAACCAGCAGTGCATAAACTGCTCGCTGAAAAATGGTGGCCAACATTTTGCTGTTGAGTGGCAACAGATTTATAAACAATTACTCATGAGAGACTGCCTCTTTGTGGCTGATGTGCAGTGCCCACTGGCAATCCACTTGGTAGCCTCAGATCCTCCCGTCCCTGCTCTACTATTCATCCACTTCCTACAATGTGGCAAGGAGGCACAGATGATGCCTTTCATTGAGATTCTGGGCAACAGGATGGAGAGCTCCTTATACCTTCCCAGAATACCCTAGAATATTTGTCTGCACATTTACTCATCAGCTAGCCAGAATCTGGCTCTAGATGCTCATTTTTTACCATCCTAAATCTCGGGGCTAATGTACTGTGAGCGGAAGGGGAAAGCAGTCCCTTAAGCCTTTGTCGTCTGGCCTGGATCTTACTGTACCTTGACTCATATGTCCTGAACCACTGCACTTTTGGTCACTGAAGTATGACTACTCAGCTTCTCACCATGGCATTTCCACTGCTCACATCTCCCAGTGCTTACTAAATCCATAGAAAGTTAATGTAATATTCAGTTAGCTTACCTCTACCACAAATGTTTTCAAATATCAATGGGATACCCTACATGTTTCTGCTTCTCTCATTAAGTCTTCCTAGTCCACATATACATGAACACAGGACCCTGGCTACTTTGACCCTAACTGACTTCTTAGAGCTTTTCCTGAGGTTTCTATTCCTGGTGCTGCTTGTCTTTGCCTTTCTAATTGCCCCTGCCCTGCCACCTTCCTGCCCTGGGTGACAGCCTTCCTCACCAGTCTTAACTCTGGCCTTCCATTCTTCAGGCACGATCCCTGCCACCTGTTGTATTGTGATTGACTAAATGGACTCAGAGGGCCAAAAGTTTTAACATGATCCTGTCACTGTACTGCATTAAAAGGTAAACAACACCTGAAGGTTTAAGTATGGAGATCTTGGCTTGCTTAGTCCCTTAGCAAATCATCTCTTATTAAAGATACAAATAGAAAAAGAAGAAGGAAAAATAGTAAAAACGTTTGACATGGCGAGTAAGGTTTTCATTATAAGCAACATCATACAACACCCATTCTTTCCAATCTTTGGCAGCTTTTTTTGGTGATATTTAATAATGCATTACTATTTAACTGCCATTTTGGAGGAAAGGAGGACACAATTGATTCAGCTGTGCCTGTTGTTGGTGTTTCTTGTGTAACAAGCAGTACGATTGCTTGAAAGGAGGAGTGCAGTTGGGCAGCAGCATGGGAAGGCTGCCCCTCTAGAGACAATGTGGTGAGAAAGGGGGATGTTTGTCCCTGTTAAGGCATTATAGTGTGGGTGGATGAAGCCTGCCTAGAGAGACCCATTTTGGGAAAGAGGAAAAGGGAACACAGTGGCCATTGGGAAGCCTGTAGAAAAAATCCCTGTGGGGGATTGGCCAAGGAAGCTCCTTGATAATAGGGTTTCCCCCCACCCCTGGTGGGGGGAGAGAAAAGCCATGCGCTGCAGGCTGAAGGCAGGAGGGAGCCTGGCTGTGGCAATTCTTCCCCAGAGACTGCAGAGCCACCGAGGGAGTTGCTGTAGGATTGGGAGGCGTCCGAGCCCAGGAGTCCTCCCTGGGATGAAGAGGAAAGCTGCGCTGTGGTCTAGCTGGGAAGGAACCAACAAGCCCTGAGTGGGGTGACTGTGCATTGGGGAGGTGGGACCGGAGGGGGATAGGCCCAGTCCACCTGCGTGTGTCAGGGGACACGGATCAGGGCAGAGAGAGGTATACTGCAGAGATGCCAGTGAGGGAACGACAGCCGGCAGCACGTGATGCCTGAAGCAAGCACAGAGGGACCCAAGCCAGGGAGGACCTGCCCACGGCCCCAGTGAAAGGGGCAAAGAAGTGGCTGTTCCTCTCAAGGCATTGCCTCAGGTTGCTAAGTGTGCAGGGAGCCATCATATTCATCCTTGTGAATAAAAGTTATTGATTAGATGTGGAAATAAGAAGGGGGAAGCTTATAAGTCTGTAACTCAATTGGCTCAATAATGATACCTTATTATCTATTTGTGATTATTCTTCTTTTGTTTTAAGGGTATTCAAAGAAAAGATGATATGTTGTGACTGTCATTACCAGGGTTTATTGTATGTTCTCTTTTATAGCATTTACAAGTTAAACCTGCTTGGTTATTTGCAATTTATATTGTATATAATTAAATCTTGTATATAGTTAACCATATGTTTGCAAGGCTCATCCTCTGTAAGAGGAAACCCTCTTCTCAAGGAACCTGCTGCAGCCACTAGGCTGGGCAAGGTTGCTGTCTACTGGGCACCCCAGGATCCCACTATTCAGTGACAGCCATGGGCAGTGCTGTGTGCCAGGGTAACACTTGTCATCGGGATCAATCTTGTTTTCCTGAGGACAAGACAAGCAACACCCCAAAGGGGAGAAGCCAACAGCAAAGACTGAAAATCCAGCTTTGGTTTCTGGCGCTGACTCCAAAGTCATGCTTGCTTGCTGTTCCAGACAGGCAGGCACAGCTCAGGGGGGTTTCACAGCCACTCCAAGATCTGACAAGCTTGTACCAGCATCAGGCTATTTAAAACATTATCTTTAACTGGCTTATTGGTCACAGACTCACAGCAGTGTTGCAAAAGAAACAGCTAAGGTAGGCTCTTTTTAAACAGAAGATGGGAAAAGATAGGAAAGAGAGGAAACAAAGCTGAGAAGGAAATGGGGGTGAGAAATACAAGCAGGCACTGATAGAAGTGGTATTTGTTGCATGATTGGGCCCTGGAAAATGCTCTACAGCCTTGCCCTGACTGAAGTGAGCACTTTAAAAGTGCCCGATTGCACAACAATTTAACCCTTATTTCACGAGGGTTCAGATGAAAGCACTCCAAAGCACAGCACCTCCATTAACTTCTGTTTGTCCCTCCATGTGAGCAGGGCTGGGTTGATGCATCCCAGCCCCACCCTCGGTGCTGTCTGCAGGATGAGAGGGGGAGACGTGGGAGGGGAGGGAGCTTTGGTTTGGGGTTTGCCCAGCCTCTGCTGATGGTGGGGTGGGTGGGTTGAAGACCCCCAAGTGGGGGGGGGACGACTCCAATCCATCTTCCCCCCACCTCCAGTGGAGGCAGGGAAAACCCCAGACCAGAGCTCCCTCCCCTCTCCCATCCTGTAGATAGCACTGGGGCTAGGGGGGAGGGATGGCAAGTGGAATGAGGCTGCAGACACACAACTTCTTTCCCCTAGATA